AAGCTGTGTGCTGTTGGTCAAGTTACTTGACCTCACTTGTCCCATTATCTAGGGAGAAATGATATGCCCACCTATGGGGAGGGAATGGGGGAGAGAATGTGACCTCCAGCTGCCCCATGAGCTGGACCCTGGAAACTGGGGGGTCCTCACCCACCTGCTTGGTCCTTGGAATGTGAATTCACTTGTCCCTATTCCACCCCAGAAGCTGCCTCAAGGACAGTGCCTTGAGACAGTATGATGTCGTGTTGAGACCATCTGAACTGGTTCAGTGTGACTGAACCCACTTATTGCCTCTGTATATAGTTTCTGATTCTGGAAGGTAGGTGTGGAGATCTATCTATCTTTTTTTTCCTTACCTTTTTTTGAAAAAAAAAATTTAAATGTTTATTCATTTTTGAGAGACAGAGCCCAAGCAAGGGTGGGGCAGAGAGAGAGGGAGATACATAGCCTGAAGGAAGCTCCAGGCTGTGAGCTGTCAGGTCAGGACATGACATGGGGCTCAAACTCACGAACCGTGAGATAATGACCTAAACTGCAATTGACTTGAGCCAAAGTCCAATGCTTCACCAACAGGGCCACCTAGGTCCCCCTCATTTTAAGTTTATTTATTTATTTTGAGAGAGAAGCAGTGGGGGCAGGTGAGAGAGAGAGAGCCAGCAGGGGAGGGGCAGACAGAGTTGGAGGGACAGAGTATCCAATGTGGGCTCTGGGCTGACAGCAGACAGCCCAAAGTGGGGCTCAAACTACAAACTGTGAGATCATGACCTGAGCCGATGTTACACGCTTAACCTACTGAGCCACCCAGGCGTCCTCATATGTCAGCTTCCTTGTTCATTAAACCTGCCACCTACCAACCTGGCATGGCCACCTTTTCTTCAGTCTCTCCCTGCCCGCTGCGTACAAGGACTGCTTTCAGATTATACCTGGGAAGCCAGAGAGGAGATTGCCACCAATGGGAGGGTGTCCAACATCTCCATTTCCTCAGGAGAATCCTGGTTTATGCTGTTGTCCTGGCATTCCATCCCTTTTGGGACCTCATTCACACTCCAGAGTATCCCCATTCAGCCAACGAATTTCATCATCATCCTACGCACTGCCTTGTCATCATGATTAAAGGAGGTTTGCACCAGAGACTTGCATCCAGGGAGTGTTCACCATGGTTTGCCATTCATGCTTTCTTGAATTTTAAAAAACAGGAATCGCCTATTGGTACTAGGCCTTGAGAAGAAACCAACAGGAAGTAGAATATGTTTGATAGAAAACTCTTCTAAGAAGTCAGAACAGTATCAAGTAAGCATGGTTCAAAACACAGTGCCCAGCATTCAAACACAGGATTTTTGCCTCCGCTCTGAACATGATCTTCTCTAGATCCTTCAGAGAATATGAAAGTGAAGCAAGTTTCTGGTGGTCTCTGATGGTCCTAAATGTCCAAAGGGTTAGCATAAGACCTTTCTTAATTTTATAAAATTAGGAAACTGGCAGCTGACAGGAGGCACAGGGCACCAGCTCTGTGCCCAAACCCCTTCTGAGGACATATGACAACCCCAGGATACTCCCCTTGTGCAGAGGGACACAGCTGTGAAGTGTCCACACCAGGCTTGGCCCCAGGCAAGGATGGAGCTGGAATGACCTAGGTAGTGGGAACCACCCTCGCACTGTATCCAGATGTCTCCAAGGCCAGCACCTTTCTGAAAGTACCTTCCCATCCAAGTTGTAGACTATGGTGTGATCTTAATGAAGAAGAGGTTCACTGTCAAAACATGCCTGAGGTTAATGTCCCAATAGCCCTGGAGAGGAGAGACAGAACCAGTTTTACAGAATGAATGTGCAAAAACATGTGAGTCATCTTGTTCCTAAATAATGTGAAGTGGATCTGCATAGGTAACTACAATTTAAAAAAGCGTAAAGATCATCTAAATTTCAAAATAACTCCTTCCTTGGCTTTGGAGCCAATGTAGGAATCACTGGTGGAAAATGGCTCTCACAGACTGGTATTATTTTGATTACGTAGGGCAGAACCTCAAGTCATATACTTAGTGTGAGTACATCTCTGATCTTATCATGAGCCTGAGTAAAGGCCAAATAGAATTCTATTCTGATGCATACTTTCTCTCTCTCCCTCTCTCCCATGACACAAGGTATTCAAGTAAAATAAGTACCTGTACAAATTCACCCGTATACCATGGTTTGTCATAATTGGTGATCAGTACGTGTCACACAAACACGGAAACTGAAGGCTAATTTCTAAACCTCCTTTGGGGACCTGAGTTAAAGCCCCTTTGGGGAAGAGGGAAAATATCAGGCTGTATACTTAAACACTGTGCTTTCCTCTATTTCTTCTTGTAACCACTAGCTTGCAACTACTAGCCTGACTCCTTTGTGGGCTGAGTTATTGTTATTTGACTCACCTAAGAACGATCATCATCTGCTGTGGAGAAAACATGAAGGGAAAAAAAAATACACCTGTTTATTGTGGGCACCAAGTACATGAGGTGGGATTCTAGCTTAGCTGAGCTGGGTAAGAAGCCTCAGAAGAGACCAGCATCTCAGCAGATAACAGGGCAAGTCCCTAACAACTGGGGCACTAGGAGGAATCCCCTTTTTGTCCTAGCCAAAAAGTCTCCATTTCATCAGTAAATTCCTTCATTTGCCTTTGGACATTGGCCTTTGGAATGGAAAGTGGCAGCAATGGTCAACTGGGTGAGAAAGTACACACAGAAGAACATAAGCTTCTTCTCTATTTCTAGCCTGTCCCTAAGTAATATTGTTCTTGGCAACTTCTGTTCCACCTGAATGATGGGAAGAAATGAGTCCCAAATCATCCAAACAGCAAATACTGCATTTGCAAATAACTAACTCAGCTCTCTGGCTCACTCCTCAATTTCTTTTTCTTTCCTTCTTTCTTTCCTTCTTTCTTTCTTTCTTTCTTTCTTTCTTTCTTTCTTTCTTTCTTTCTTTCTTTCTTTCTTTCTTTCTTTCTTTCTTTCTCTCTCTCTTTCTTTCTTTCCTTCCTTCTGTCTGTCTGTCTTTCTTCCCTTCCTCCCTCCCTCTTCTCTCCCTTCTTTCTTTCTTTCTTTCTTTCTTTCTTTCTTTCTTTCTTTCTTTCGTTGCTTCTTTCCTTGAGCCAAGTCTGTTCTCTTGTTCCTTCTACCCTCATATCATGTCCTCTTAATTGATGTGGCTTTTCTATACCACGATGCTGTACCGTCTCTCTCTTGACACCAAGAGGCACATCATCCTTGCTGTCATTATCTTATCCAGTACCAACTGCTCTAGAGCCCATGTACCTGCAGTGCCTTCTGTCCAGAACACCCTTCCCCAAATCTTCTCCTTGATAATCATTGTCCACTCAGCTAGGCTTTCAAGTCCTTCCTCCTATAGGTGGCCTGGCCCTCTGTACAGGACGCTGACCCAAGAGGCTATTTTGTTTTTCCTATAGAAATAACTTTCAGGGGCCACTCATTCAGTTATGGGGCTTTTCTTTATTATTTTTTGGAAATAATTTTTTAGAACCTGACACGGCTCAAACTCGTGAATGGTGAGACTGTGACCTGAACTGAAGACAAGCACTTTATTGACTGAGTCAAACAGGCTCCCATTTATGGGCTTTTTCTTGCCTCCCTTGTAAGAGGAAAGCTCCACAGGGCAAGGTCTTGGTCTAACAGCTGGATCTGTGGCATGAAGCACAGGCTCCATTTATGGAGGAAGCCCATTGGATACTATTGAACATTGGATGCTTGGATGGACAGATAAATGGATGGATAGATGGATGGATTGTACCTACCATTTATTCATGATTACCTTGTTTGAAGTCCTGTGGTAAGCTCTTTACAGAGTGTCTTTCATGCCTGCAAAACCAGGTGTGGTATGATTGATGCTTATTTTAGAAATGAGATAAAGGAGGCTTGAAATAACCAGTAATTTAACTTGCCCAAAGGCACTTCATGATTAGGTAGTGCATCCAAGATTGAAATCCACATTGTGGGGGAGTCTGGGACCCTCAGTTGGTTAAGTGTCTGACTTTGGCTCAGGTCATGGTCTCAGTTTGTGAGTTTGAGCCCCACATCGGGCTCGCTGTAATCAGCCCAAAGCCTGATTCAACTGCTATGTCCTCTCTCCCTCTGCCCTTTCCTCCCCATCTGCTCACATGCTCTCTCTGTCTCTCTCTCTCTGGGTTTCTCTCAAAAATAAATAGTGAAAACTTGAAATGACTGCTTGAGCCCAGTCCTGATCACCGTTCCCCTATTCAGCACTGCCTCTGCTGAGTGAGTGATCAGTTGCTCTGCTTCTTCACATCATCCTTTGAACGTGTGGGGAAGAGATCCTAAACAATTAAAGAAATATTCTTCATAGATGCAGAATAGAATGAATTAATGAAATCGAATTAATTCAATGAGATAGTCTTTGTACAAATAACCTTGAGAGAACGTTAGACATTGTTAGTATTTCCTAAATGTCCAGACAAGGCCTTACTAAAAGTGTCTATGGACAAGAAAAGTCTGCCCTCCAGAGGAGGTGTGGGGTATTGCACTGAGCCCAGCCGCACCCTGAGCCCGCAGGAACCCAGGATAGGAAGCTTTCTGTGTCTTGAAGGAGGAGGATGGGTTGAAGCAGACTAATAAACACCACCACAATAATAAAACAACGAGGAGGACAACACAGGAGCATTCTGTCATCGTTAGATTAGCTAGCAAGCATCTTTGCACAAATTTCATCTAAAGCCATGTTATCCTTGTTGCAGTTCCCAAATTGTCTTGGGTCCAACAAGCTGTCTCCTTGATTTCTACAACAGAGCACAGGCTGTCTGGGTTGCAGTTGATTCTTGCTGTCGTTACCTGGCCCAGTGCCAGGTTTACTGTGTGCCTCAGTCCCTCATTTGTGGGAGGGATAAGGTGGTGGCCAGGAGAATAAAAGGAGGAGTTCTAGGTGCTCAGCTCCGAAGTGAGTTCCCTCTTCCCAGCCACTTCAAACTGACTGACCAGGTACAGCTGCCCTCAACTATGAAGCTGCTGAGCGTCCTTGTTCTGGTTGCCCTCCCCCTTTACTGCTTTGCTGGTGCGTTAGGTCCAGCAAGGACAGGTCTTGGGCTGAAGGTCATGTCAGGGCCCTGGGGAAGACCCCCTATTCCCCAAAGTCCAGTTCAGAGCCTCGACCTCCTTCCTCCAGTGTCTTCATTGTCTGTGGTCACATAGTGTTTGGCTTCTCTGGGCTGTGGAGGCAGTGCAGGGGTGGGGAGAGGGCACACATATTTTCAGGCTTAAGGGAAACCCTAGGTCATGATTTTACTCTCCTAGAGCCGAGAACCCAAGACCATTCACCATCCTCTTTCTGAATGTATAAGTCTACTGGTTTGTAGGTTAGATGGCCGACATCCTAGGTGCTCCAAAAATAGGCTTCATAGATACCTAATTGAGGCCACTTTTACATGTTTCCTTTCAGGTTCTGGATGCCTACTGCTAGAGCAAGTGGTTAGCAAAACAATCGATCCTCAAGTGAGCATTTCTGAATGCCAGAATTTTCTTGAGGATTTCGCTCAGACTCCTGAGAAACAACAGGCCTTAGCAGATCTGAAGCAACGTTTTCTCAACCAGTCAGATGAAACTCTGAAGAATTTTGGAGATATGATGGTAATTACAGTTTCTTCTGATGTGCTTTCAAACCATGAGGCAGCGACAACTAGGCTCTATGTGTGTTCCTAATGACGCCAAAGCAAGGGTTAAACACACTTTATTTTATTTCAGTGAATGTTCTTGTGGATGCATGTGAATCCTTTGACATCAGGAAAGACAGCCAAGGTCCCAGTGCTGATTTCCCTCTTCATTTCTTGGAATCTTTAGTGAGTGATAATTGAAAAAGTCAAATGAAGGACAATATTCATATAAAGATTTAATTATCCTTCAGTTTTCTAGTACACAAACGCACATACACACATACTTTTATATTTTTTCTTTTTTTAAGCTTATTTCTTTATTTTGAGGAAGAGAGAGGGAGACAGAGGGCATGGAGGAGGAGCATGTAGGAGGGGAGAGAGAGAATCTTAAGTAGGCTCCACACTCTCAGTGCAGAGTCTGACTCGGGTTTCAACTTCATGAACTGTGATATCATGACCAGCCAACTGAGCCACCCAGGTCACCATTGTTTTCTGTTTTTAGAAATGTTTTTATTGCTGCTTATTAAGTAAACTCTCCACCGAATGTGGACTCAAACTCACTACACTGAGATCAAGAGCCACAGGCTCTCCCCACTGAGCCAGCCAGGCACCCACACACACATTTTCTAGTGAGGTAAAACACATCTGATTCTCAAGAAGTCCCTTACTGGTAGAAGTGACTGGCAGCAATGATCCCCATCTTCATAGAAACAAATAATACAATGTTCATTAAAATTTTTAATAGAGTCCAGAAGATTCCACATGAAGAAGATTCTGTACCTGTTTCTAAAAGCATTGATAATGCACTTTTAAGCAAGAAATGTGTCCGTATAAATGATAGGATTCCTTGACTATTAATTAATGACTCCATGGATGACAAGTACAGACCACGGGTATGAATCTGCCTTGGGGATGAAATTGTTTAAAACTAAAATTAGTATTTCGTCTCTTCTCCGTAATATATTCCCTATCCTGAGACTCCATTGAAAAGGTGCAGGGGAGACAATTTAAAAATATTGCAAAGCAAAAGATAAAAGTATTCATAAGTCAGAAGAGCCAACAGGGATGAACTGTGAGCACCTTATGATAAAGAAAATAAGCCAGCAAAAAAAAAAAAAAATATGGGGCACCTGGGTGGCTCAGTTGGTTAAGCATCCGACTTAGGCTCAGCTCATGATTTCACGATTAATGGGTCTGAACCCCACATCGGGTTCTGTGCTGACAGCTCAAAGCCTGGAGCCTGTGTTGGGTTTCTGTCTCCCACCCTCTCTGACCCTTCTCTGTCTCTATCTGTCTCAAAAAAAAGAAAGAAAAGAAAAGAAAAAGAAACTTTTTTGCATGAGTTCATTTATATCAGTTTTCCGGTGTAGCCAGTCTCCTAAAAAAGGAAGGGAGAATCGTGGTTTTGAGGGGTTACATGTTATGGAAAATGGGGGCTTCTCAGTGGGTATAGAGTTCGACAATAGCAAGATGAGAACGTTCTGGCCATTGGTTGCACCACAACACACATATACTTAACGCTGCAGAACTGTATGCTTACAATGATGTCACTGGTCAATTTATCTTATCTGTATTTACCATAACTAAACATTTTAAAGAGGAGGAAAACCCTGAAACCAAGGATAATGAAAGGTTTTCTTTTTCTGTTTTTTTTTTTTTGGAAGTTTACTCATTTTTGAAAGAGAGAGAGAGTATGTGAGCCAGGGAGAGGCAGAGAGAGAGGGAGACCCAGAATCCGAAGCAGACTCCAGGCTCTGAGCTAGCAAAACAGAGCCCCCCAGGCTTTAATCTACAAAATGAACCATGAGGTCAATGACCTAAGTGGACGCTTAACCGACAGAGCCACACAGGTGCCCATGGAATGTTTTCTTTAAAAATGTAGGTTAGATTGATCGCTGGGAGTGCACATCTCCAATGTTTGTAGGACACAGAGGTAAAGGTCTCGGTGTCAGACCCTGTTCAGTATTTGTAACACGTAACGTCACACCAGAACGCCAACAAAACTTCCCATTTCCTTGTATTTGGGCTGAGACTTAACAATTTTTTGTTGAAATAAATACACGCTGGCAAATCTAGGGATCCCTGAAGGAGGTAGAGATCTGGAAACACCAGCACCTGTTTGGCATCAGTAAAGTCTCCTCATCATTACCATGAGAGACAAGATCATTCTGATCTTAACTCCAGCACCAATGTCCTGGGGTACCAGATGTGTGTGGACAAACCCTAGAAACCAAGAAGAAATGTGCGTTTTTCAAGACTTGTACTGGAACAGAGAGATGGACATCAGAGTGACGTCTCTGTTTTTGTTTTCCAGCAAATAATGTATTCCAGTAAGTACTGTGCAGCTTATTAACTCTCCACAAGGCCCCAAGAACTACAGAGAATGCTCAGCGACCGACAGCCAGTGAACAGAAACCATGACTTTCCTTTCTTCTTTGTCTTTTGCTCTATAAACTGCAAGACAATTGTTGAAACTCAAATGCATTTTCATTTCAATAAACCGTCTGCAAGTGGAAAGTTCTTTTTATGTGATGTGTCAAAATGGAGGCTTTGAGAGCCTCAAATGCATGTGCTCACGGGCACCCACACTCATATGTAATTGTTCCTTGGAGAGCATGTGGGTGAAGGACTGAGGAACCTGCAAAGCACTCTATTCCTTCCTATGTGTGGCCTAACATGGGTCCTCTCTCTGGAAATGTGCTTTTCCACTCTCGTGGCCCCCATTTTCCCAGGGACTAGCTCTGAAGTCCTCAAGTCTTGGGCTCTGCTGGTTGAGCCCCGTGAAGTTCCCCTAATCCATGGCTGTGGCTAGGCTTCTCTTTTGGTCCTCTGCCCTTGACCTCCGTGAGCGGGACCAGGAGTAGAGCCACGTAGACAAGCGACTTATCCAAAGCAGGGGTGAATCCTGGCTTGATTTTATGTATTTTTATTTTTTTAATATTTATTTATTTTTGAGAGCAAGACAGAGGGAGACAGAATATCAGCAGAAGAGGGGCAGGGAGAGAGGGAGACACAGACTCTGAAGCAGGCCCCAGGTCCCCAGCAGTCAGCACAGAGCCAGACAAGGAGCTGGAACCCGGGAGCTGTGAGATCATGACCTGAGCAAAGCCAGATGCTTAACGCACTGAGCCTCCCCAATGCACCTTCATCCTGGTTTGATTTTCAATTTTAATGGCAGCATTAATTTTTTATTTAAAATTTTTTTTAATGTTTTATTTATTTCTAGGAGAGAGAGAGGCAGCGTGAGCAGGGGAGGGCCAGAGAGAGAGGTAGTCACAGACTGAAACAGGCTCCAGGCTCTGAGCTGGCAGTCAGCACAGAGCCCGATGCGGGGCTCGAACCCACGAACCGCGAGATCATGACCTAAGCGAAAGTCGGACGCTTAACCGACTAAGCCACCCAGGCGCCCCTGATTTTTGAAATATTTCATGAAAAGACTATTTACCCTAATGACCGAGATGAGGGTGCAACCCTGCAATTGTGTGGGTCTCCCTAGTCTGTCCCTACAAGTGGCAATGAGGCCCGGTCTCTTCACACTGATGAGCTTCAAATCCATGTAGGTGGAAGGGAAATGTGTCTGTTCTGTGGGAATAAGGCAAAGCCAGCGGTTTTTATACTGAGCCATAGCTCTCCTTACTTTTACCTGTCCCCATATCCCTGTCGCCAGAATTGAGTTACTGCCATCTGCTTCTGCTCACATCTCACAGGGTGCCTCTTCCATCATGGGCTACCCTATCATCCCGGAAGACCCCTGCCCCTTCCTCACGACTGTTTCTCGGCTTTGACCAACATTGACTTCAACCAGGAATAACACATACAGAGAATTAGGCACACAAGACTTTTAGGATTCCACAAAAATGTTATAGTTTCTTTTATTTACTGTTTTTTAATGTTTGCTCACTTTTTAAATTTTTAAAAATGTTTTTCTTTTTATTTATTTCTGAGAGAGAGAGACAGTGTTAGCAGGGGAGGATCAGAGAGGGAGAGAGAGGTACAGAATCTGAAACAGGCTCCAGGCTCTGAGCTAGTGTCAGCACAGAGCCTGACGCGGGACTCAAACCCACAAACTGTGAGATCATGACCTGAGCCGAGGTCGCACACTTAACTAACTGAGCCACCATGGCACCCCATTGTTCAGTCACTTTTGAGAGAGAAACAGAGCGTTAGCAAGGGTGGAGCCGAGAGAGAGAGAGAGACACAGAAGTTGAAACAGGCTCCAAGCTCTGAGCTGTCAGCACAGAGCCTGACGCAGGGCTCGAACCCATGATCCGCAAGATCATGACTTTAGCCTAAATCAGATGCTAACTAACTGAGTCACCCAGACACCCCATACAATTTCTTTTTTTAATGTTTATTTACTGAATTGGAGAGAGAACGAGCATGAGCAGGGGAAGGGCAGAAAAAGGGAGAGAGAGAGAACCCTAAGCAAGTTCTGAGCTGTAAACACAGAGCATGATGTCAGGCTTGAACCCACGAACCCTGAGATCATGACCTGAGCCAAAATCAAGAGTCTGACACTTAACCCACTAAGCCACCCAGGCATTGCCCGCCACCCCCCCACCCCCCTCTAAAATGTTAGAATTTCTTCTGGACTATTAACCAAAAGTGCCTGTCATCATAATGAATATATACCAATGAACCCGAGTGGAGCACACTTCTTTTTATACCAATGCAGTTGTCAGCTCAGGTATTTCACATGGTTTTTATGGAAACTGGCCAAAAGTACCTAAGACTTGACAAATGTCATAATGAAAACCTGCAATTTTCCTTCTCCTACACTCCTCACGGTCAGTGACTCCGTTAGGCACAGGCATCAGGACCCTTGCCCAGGATCCACATCTTTAAAAATCTCCCCATTACACACACACACACACACACACACACACACACACACACACACACATTTATTAAGAGCTCAAGGTCCATACTCAGGTCTCAGTGCTTTAGGTGTGTCTTCAGTGGGGAGGGAAGGCCACTTCTCTCTCTGCCTCTCAAAAATGGGGACCTCAGCCCACCCTCTCTCTCTCTCTCTCTCTTTTGGACCATAAG